ATCAGAGTAGGGACGAGGAAGGAGGCTAAAACACAAGCCACTAGGCAAAGGAAGGAGAAAAAGCTGGAAACGGAGTGGGCGAGGCAATGTGAGGACCCAATGAGGAAGGTCTATAGGGCGGTTACGAAACTGTTGTCTAAACCAATCACAGGTTGCAATGTTCAGGGCCTTCGCCAATCTTTTAAAAGATTACATGCTTCACAGTGGGGGGTATTGTGCTTGGGGGAAAACAGGAAGGACTGGAGGGAGGGAAAGCTGCAGTTCAGAGAATAAATAAAATTTTTCTAAAAATCCACTAAAATCACATTTCAGCCTAAGATTCTGTTTGCCTCCCTTTATGCATACGGCACTCAACTGGATCCTGGATCTTGTGTGATGATGCATTAGAAATAATGATTTCTGGGCTGGAGAGAAGATTAAGTGGATAAAAGCATTGAGAGCTCTTCTGGGGGACCCGAGTTCAATTCCCAGCACCCATATTGCCTCTTAAAACTGTCTGTAACTCCAGTTCCAGGGGATCTGACACCTTCACACAGACATACATTCAGGGAGGCAAGACACCAATGCAGGTAAAAAGTAAATAATCTTTAAAAAAAGAAAATCAAACACACAGAAAAGGAATAACGATTTCCAATTAAGTACCAAATATATGCTCTTCCAGTAAATCACATTTATCCAAGATTATGTTTGCTAGGGAGTATGAAATTCCTGTTTTAAAACTTGTACGTTTATTTATTTTGAAGAGTGATATATTGGTACAGTATGGAAATCTTATTGCTATTTGAAGACATATATATATATTTTTTTATATATTTATATATTATTATATATTTATATATAAGACACACACTATATATACTTTTGTTTGTTGGTTTTGTTTTGTTTTGTTTTTTGTTTTTTTTTTTGAGACAGGGTTTCTCTGTGTAGCCCTGGCTGTCCTGGAACTCACTCTGTAGACCAGGCTGGCCTCGAACTCAGAAATCCGCCTGCCTCTGCCTCCCAAGTGCTGGGATTAAAGGCGTGCACCACCACTGTACCAAAAGCACACACACACACACACACACACACACACACGGACAGTATTTTGCTCTGCAGCCAAGCTGGCCCTGGTGCTCATGATGTTTTCTAGACTAGCTTTGAACCTGAGGTTCTCCTGCATTAGACACCAGGGCTCTAAGGATTACAGGTGTGTGACACCTCAGCCAACTATTTTTCCAATCTGATCTCTTTTCAAAGCTCTTTTTGTTGATTTGTTGCCATTTATATATTTTTGCTATTCAATTATCAGTAACACTGCTATCAAATACTTTGATTCAACTGTAGGTTACATTTTCATGATTTTTTTTTCTTGTTAGTTTTTTTCTTTTGTTTTTAGAGACAGAGTTTCACTGTTTAGCTCTGGCTGTCCTGGAACTTACTTTATACACCAGGTTGCCCTCTAACTCTGCTTCCTGAGTACTGGAATTAAAGGCCACCATTGCCAGGGCATTTTCATTATTTTGTGTTGCTATTAACCCTGGCTGCCTAGAACTAGTAGGCAATTCTTCTGCCTCTATGTCCAGAGTAGTTAGGATTATAGACATGCACGCACCACCCCACACGACTCTTTGTATAAAAGTGTGGTTTTGTTTTTAGGAACAAGGCTTAATGTAGAACATGCTGTAGTAAAGATGACCTTAAATTCCCATTCTCTTGCTTTTCCAAGCTTTGTTTTAAAGTCACTGCCAAGCCTAATGTATTTACTTGTTAACACTTGTTTTTAACTGCTTTAGTTTGGTCTTTGGTGCATTCTTAGTTCTTTCTATTTGAGTGTATGTGTTTGTGATATCTGTCTGTACGTTTCTATCTGTCTGCATGTGTCTATAGAGGCTAGACACTAGTTGATAGAGATTGATATCAAATGTCTTCCTCAATGACATTCCAATTTAATGTTAAAGCTCACAGGTTCAGTGACACTGATTGGCCAGTGACTCTGGAATCCACTTGTCTCTGTATCTTCAGCAGTGTTACTACAGATGTATGTCATGATACTCTTACGTGGATGCTGATGATCTGAATTCAGATCCTTGTTTTTGTATGGCAAGTACTTTACCTACCAAGCCCTCTCCCTGGTCCTTGGAATCATTTTTTTAAAAATCACTCTTTTGTATAAGCACACGCAGCGCAGCTTTGCCAAAACCCTTTGATTGAAAAGACTATTCTTTTCCGAAAATAAAGTTGTCTTGGCACGCTAATTAAATATCATCTGACCACATACATGAGCATTAATTTTTGGGCTGTTCATGCTAGCAGTATTAACTACTGTTCATAGATTTTTTTTTTTTTTTAAAAATTCTACTGTATTAAGTTTAAGTGTAATTGCTGAGCATTTAAATTTCATTTTTACTTCCTTGTACTGTAACACCTAGACCAAATACAGACTATTTAAGAGCATATAGGTACTATGCGTTGGCTACACCTAATGGGATGCTTTCCTTCTTCAGAAACTCAAATTTCACCAAGAGTCAACTCACACTGCAGAATACCCTTTCCTAACTGCATGAGTTTGTGCTGGTGTGTGTGTGTGTTTGTGTGAGTTTCCACGCTGCAAGTAGAGGTGGCATCCAGGGCCTTCTGTACTGAGCTACATATCCAGTCCTCATTTCTTTACTAAGTTTAGTTTCCTCTCTCTTTCTTTCTTTCTTTCTTTCTTTCTTTCTTTCTTTCTTTCTTTTTTCTTTTTCTTTTTCTTTTTCTTTTTTTTCTTTTTTTTTTTTTTTCGAGACAGAGTTTTTCTGTGTAGCCCTAGCTGTCCTGGAACTCACTGTGTAGACCAGGCTGGCCTCAAACTCAGAAACCCACCCACCTCTGCCTCCCAAGTAGTGGGATTAAAGACGTGCACCACCACTGCCCTGCCTAATTTCTTAATATCTACTTAAATAATGTTTTTTGCCAAAACTTTCTGCCTTTCCTTGTGAAAAGATCATGTAGACATTTCTAAAAAGCAAAACTCAAAATCTCCACGTGGAACTTCCATAAGAACCAAGATTCATCACCATCTGACCTGCATTCCTTGCTACTCTCTTCTGTCTCTAACTTGTCCTTTCTGCCATCTTGCTGTTAAATCTGATGGAATTCACTGAGGGCAAGCTTTCATGTACCCAGGGTGTACAACTTGAACGCAGATAATACTGATTCCCAACTTATAGACATTCTCCACACAAGGTCTGGATCCATCTACTAGGTGGGTTCTAGTCATCAGGGCATATGATTTGACCATCCTTCCAAGCTCCTTCCAGTGTCTGCAGAAAGTTGCTAAGGAGTGGGGTACATCTCTGTCACAGCTTCAGGCTGAACAGACCTGGCATACATCAGGTTGAAGTGGAAACTAAAGAGGTTCTTTGGAAAGGTGTTTGGATGGTGTTTTGCTGAGGCAAACACGTGAAGGAATGTTTAGGTGAAGCAGACACAGGGGAAAGGATGTGCTGCTAAAGCAAGCATGTGAAAGGACATGTGATGGAGGATACTTTGCTGACAGCACTCACTTATTGGTCTGCCTTACGTTGCATAGTTAAGCTGCATTTGTCAGTACTCCATAGAGAGAAACACTTCGAGAGAAACTTCAGGTGGTGCGCTGCAGTTTTTGCTGCATTTACGGTCTTGGGTTGATTGGCAGAGGGATGTCAGCTGAGATAGATGCACGTGCTGAGGCAAGCAAGACCTGTGGAGGACATGTGATGTTCAGAGGGTATAGACAGGACTCTATGGATAGTGATGGGGGCCGAGCTTGGCCTGCTCATAGAGCTAGCTACCTGTGCAACGCTTGTGGGTCTCCAGTCTTCGATGATCTTCGCTTCCCTGAGAGAGGCACAACCGGGAACTTCTCCTGGCATCCCTCTGGGTCCCTCTTGCTGACTTGTGCCAAGGCTGAGGCCTGACTGTCTCTGCTAGGCAGTGCCATCTCTGCTAATTCCTGTTTGCTATCCCGACTCTATCGGTAAAGTGTTTGCAAGTGGATTGATGGAGCTGCCACTGCTGACCTGTGAACTGAACTGCTGATTTCCAGACAACACAGATGGGAGTTACTCCAAAGAACCTTTCTAAACAGGTCCACTTCTTGTATCCTTTCTTTCCCACTACTTCTGGGGGTGGGTGGGGGGGTGGGCTAGCAGGGAGGTTAAAACATTAAAGAACCGTCATAAAAGAAGGTTTTGAGAAAAGTAAAGTTGCATCAGGTGCTCAAAGTACCCATCACCTACAAGGGAGGAACTTTGCCATGCGCCTCTGCTGTGGTACACAGAGGACACAACTTCCCTTCTGTGAGCTGTCTGGGAACACCCTATAGTCCAGGGAGGAGCTTCTCTCAGGGTTCAGCTCCTGTGTGTTTCCATGACTCCTCAGCTGGAAGAGTGCTGACGGCCCATGCTGAAGTTTGGTTTGGTTTGAGACAGGCCCTCACACCCTGTAGATGAAGCTGAGGTCGGACTGGAGCTCATCCCACATCAGCACCCCACACCACACCCCCAGGACCCAGACTGCACTCATCCCACGAGGCTCAGCTCTCGCTCTGGGTGTGCTGAACTGTGGATTTCAGGAAGGTCTCAAGTGCTGTTTCTACTGTTCATGCCTGGGCTTTGGAAAGCCTGGCGGCTGTGCACCTCGGTGTTCTTGGGGCTGCCTGTGCCTTTGCTCTTGTTCCACACCCTGCCTCTTCCTTCCCTGGTAACAGTGCCTCTCTCTGATGAGCTGCTGAAAGCTTTACTGTGTAGCTCTCCTCTGTGTGGAGGCTTCCCCTTTAAGGGAGGCAGGGAAGCTGCTTTGCTGAGTGGTGCAGTCAGCCTTGCCGGGGAGCTGGCCACTGAAGCTCCTGCCCTGGCCTCTGCTGGGGGCTGCAGTGTCTCCTCAGAGGGTCCCCTCAGGCCTGCCTCCCCTCCCTGTATTGTGTTCCTGCACTTAGGCAGCAGCAATAAAAAGCCTCACTGCACAGGCAGAAGACCTGCCCCTCCCCCACCGGGGCCAGGCCTAGCTTTTCTTCCTGGGCAGGGATGTGACAAAAGGCTTCAGCCTGCCTGCTCTGGCTCTGCCACCAGCCCGGAGTGGGAAGCCTCATCTAGAATTTCTTTTTCAGGTACTGCAAACATCTTTGAAAAGTCTGCCTTAGGGTTCCCCACATAGTGTTAGAAGCAGAATGATGGATCACTTCAGTGTTATGAGGTCAGGAAGTGTTATGAGGTGTTATGAGGTCAGGAAGTGTTATGAGGCTAGGAGGCTGTCTGCTGGGTGGACAAGCTGCATTGGAGTGTGTGTGTTAGGGGATGAGGGGGGCTGTTGTCCCCCAGAAACCTAGATGTGGGGCTGGACAATCAGGACACGAGGGACAGTGGGCCTCCATAGGGGCTTACAGGCCAGCCCCAGCAATACCAGACCCTGTTGTCAGGAAGGAGAAGCCACCACCGAGAAAATGCTGTTTTCTTGTGCTGTCTGGTTTATGCAAGGATGTTTGGAAATGGCGTTTAAATATAAAGAACACATGTCTTGACACATGTTCCTCCTTCTCGCCCCTCCTCCTCCTCTTCTTTGGAGAAACTGTGAGACATGCTTCTTCCTTTTTTAGTTCCCCTTCCTACTGAAGCAGTATTATTCCTGTACTGAGGGACAGACTGAAATCTGTGCAGCCTTTGTATCTATCCAGATTCTCATGCTGAGCCAGCATTCTAGCTAGCCAGGTCCTTGTGCCCCGTCTTCTTTTCAAAACTGATTCTCAAAAGTGAGGAACTTCAGCCATCGCTTGGCTGGGTTCAGAAGACAGAGATAATATTATTATATTACTGTATTTTGTGTGTGTGCATGTAGATAGGGAAGGTAGGGAATCATGTCAACTTGTGTTCATGTCTCTCTTTCCACTATGTGTGTCCTGGATATTGAATTCTAGTCATCAGGCTTGGTATCAGATTACAAGTCCCATTACCCACTGAGACATCTCACTTGTTTCAAACAAAGAGGACTTTTAACCTTTAAAATTGAGCAGATTTTTCTCATCTACTTTTTGGACTTGCATGGGAGCTGAGATTTGAATAGAAAACATCCCTAAAAGATCACATGTTCCAGCATTCGGTTTCCAGTTGCTGGTGGTGTTGGTGAAGGTTGTAGGAATCCTTGGAAGCCCTGAGTCAATGTGTGTTGTTGACATGGACACCACCATGTCAAGGAGCATATGCTCAGCCCCATGGAGTGGCAAAGTGCCCTCCCCATCCCAACGCAGTTCAGAGGGATCCTAAAATCTTCCTTAGGGGTCTGAGTGCCAATGTTAGTGATAGTGTGTGCATGAAATTTCCAGCACCGCTTTCTCTCCCTGAGTATTTATGGTCTGAATCCTGGTGCCCTACAGAGACTCTGCCTCCTCAGACTAGATCAGCCTCTCTCCTTGATCAGCTGTTTCTGAGCAGGCAGTAACTCTTCACCCCATTGGACTCTATATAATAAACATGCTGCCCTTCCAGGCTGCTGTGCTTTCTCCATCAGAGCACCCAGTCTACCCAACTCCAGCTTGTCTGTGTGTTTGTCTATTTATTCCCTGACTTCCCCCAAGTCAGGTCCCTCCTTGAGGCCATGTAAGGATGTGGCAGAAGGTTGTGGAATCTTTTAGAGGTGGCCTCTTTAGAGGGGACATAAATCACTTGGCAAATGTTTTGTAGGTTTCGTAATCTGGCCCCATTTCCTGGTTTTTGCTTCCTGTATTGGGTAGAATTGTGATTTGTTGGCTTCCTGATACCCCAGGGCAAAGTTAAGTGCTCCTTTAGAAATGTACAACAAAAGAGAGTAATTAAGGGAGACTCTGAGAGTGCTGAAGCACAAAGGGGAGACAGTGTGAAGCCAGGGAGAAGACAACCATCCCTAAATCTGAGGAAGACCCTTTCCTCTAAGGGCACAAACGGACCCACAGTTTCTCATGCTTTAGCCTCAGATGACAGCCCTACAGAACTGTGTGAAAAGAAATGTTATTTGGTTGTATGCTTGATGGTCTTACAGATCAGTCTCTAGCTTCAATAATGTTCAGGATTTAAAAAAAAATGCCAGAGAGCAACAACAGAGCAGTAGTTGTGACTGCCTTTGATCTCACCACTCCAGAAACAGAGACAAGCAGATCTCTGTGAGTTTGACTATAGAGTGAGTTCCATGACAGCCAGGGCTACACAGAGAAACCCTGCCTTGAGAAACAACAAATTAGAAAGCTCTCTCTTTCCTCCACACTGGTTTCTAGAAGGAATTTCTTGAACCATCTTCTTGGTCATCTATTTCCCTGCACCAACCAACACACATTTTGTGTGTGTGGTTGGTCAATTCCTTTGCTGGTCAGCCAGGGACTCCATACTCATAACAATTTTCTGACCAAGGCATGGCTCTGATGGAGAAGGAGCCATCTCTGTGATGTTGCTAAGGAGGAGCATGAAGGCAGTACTCTGTTCTACAATGTGGAGTGGCTGTTTTAAGAGGAATACGGTAAAACTCTGGGTGCCATGCTTAAAAACCTTTGAGAAGGGCATAAACCTGGTCTTTTCTGGATGGTGGAACCTAGAGTTCGGTCTCACATAGAGCTCCATCTTTATTGCTTCCTAGATATTTATGTATTAAGTTGGGGAAAGGTCAAGAAAATGGCAATAAGAATTTGAGAGATGCCTCAGTAGTTGAGAGCACTGGCTGTTCTTCCAGAGGACATAGTTTCAATTCTCAGCACCCGCATAGCAGCTAATAAGCATTTTCAAGTCCAGTTCTAAGGGATGAGACGATGTCTTCTCTGGCCTCAGCTGACACTTGTATGCATGCGGTGCACAGAATACATGCACATAAAACATCTCAACACATTAGAGTTTGGGGAAGGGAAGGCTATCCCGGGACCAACTGCCATAGGCTTCCTGGTCCCCAGCCCTAGTCTCCCCCAATAGCTTGTCTTCACCAATGATGTTCCTCCGTTTCCTGGTGAGATGGTCGGTTTTCCTGTAGGGTTTTGTTGTTGTTGGTTGGTTGGTTGGTTGGTTGGTTGGTTTGGTTTTTGGTTTTTCGAGACAGAGTTTCTCTGTGTATCCCTGGCTGTCCTGGAACTCACTCTGTAGACCAGGCTGGCTTCGAACTCAGAAATCCGCCTGCCTCTGCCTCCCAAGCACTGGGATTAAAGGCATGCGCCACCACCGCCTGGCCCTATAGAGTTCTTATCTTGCTTCCACTACATGATTGGTATGAGCTGAGAGTAAAGGCTAAGATGAGGATGAGGACTCCATTTGGCACTCCAGAGTAATTATACAAATGGGAAAGAATGAACCCTAAGATTCTCAGTGACTGCAGGATGCCAACCAAGAAGATCTAGAATTTTGTAGCTATAAATTGTTGAGCCCTTGGGATGTCAAGCCATGAGGTCAACCAAAACCCACAGATATTAGGATCTGACAGCCTTCCTCTGAAGGAGTCTACTTGGGACAGGTCTAGGATGAATGGCATATGTGGTGGGTGTGAAGTTTCTGGGGCAGCTTAAAGACAGGAAGCAGAAAAAGAGACCCATTTGACCTCAGCGGATGGAAATATTTATTTCAAATATCAAAGTGCAGGGGTGGGAAAGGGGTGTCTTTTGAGAGCAAGGTATACTTGAGTTTATATAGGAAGTTTGAGGAGTACAACTACTGGGTCTATAGCAGTTTGCAAGCCTGACATTTCTCTCTCTGGAGTTGTTTGTCTACACAAGGCTGTTTTATCTTTAGATACTCCCTTAACCCTGCCCATTATGGTGGGTGTCATAATGGCCCACTGAGTTTGGCAATGATGTGGAAGGGCTAGAGTTTCAATATAGGGCCTTTGTCAGGGACGAGCAGTGTTTATTCAAGGTTTATTAACAGTGAGTATCAAGTTAGGAAGTGGTTCTCTGGTGGAAGCAAGTCTCTCATACAAATGATGGAATCCCTAAAGTAAGAGTTTCCTGCTTGAAATAAGGGCTGAGTCTTTCAGAGCAGGAACAGTAGGAACACAAGATAGGGGTGTGCAGCATGGTGTCTCTAGCAGGTCTCAGGAGCTCCCAGCTACTGGTCGAGTCTGAGTCTAAAGTCTTCAGAAGAGCATCTAGGAGTCTGGCAGTGGAAAAAGCCAGTTGGCTGAGAGTTACACTTTGAGGCAGATTGCAGCTGGGCTGATGAAAAAAAAAAGCTGCTTGTATAAGCTCAGGCTGGCTTATTGGCTGTGTGTGTGGGTGTGTGTGTGTGTGGGTGGGTGTGGGTGTGTGGTGTAGTGTGGGATAAAATCCAATGAGAATAATGGCTGTCAGCCCAGGAAGTGGAAAAACAGAGTGGCCTTTCACTCTAGGCTACTGTATGTCCTCTCTTCTCTCTCCCTCCTCTGTGTTGCAACAGAAGAAAGCGTGGGAGGGGGGAGAGAGGAGGTGAAAGCTGGATTTTCACATCTGTTCCCACTTTGGAGTACAGAAAGCAGTTGTGGTTTGGGGGGATGAGTTTTTTGGTGTTTTCTCTTTGTTTTGCTTTGGTTTTTTAGTCTCTGACTGCCAACTGGAAGCTCCAGTCTTTGCTGGTCTAACCATCTAGACTGTTAACGTGTGTTGCAGGCTGTCTTCCAGAGGAAGCTTAAGGTTTCACCTCCATGAAGCCCCAAATTCCACTGGACACCCCTCCTATACTTACTTAGCATCAGTACTTACTCCTGAGCCTCTTCCTTAAGCGGAGGCAGGTTTTTAGTCGCCCCTAGTCCTCCTCTATGCTTGGAACTAAATAGGAATAAGAATGCTATTTAGGACTGGGAATGTAGCTCAGCTAGTAGAGGGCTAGCATGCATAAAGTCCTGGGTTCCATCCCTAGCAATGTGTATCCTGGTGTGGTGCTGTGTGCCTATAATAGCAACGCTGTAAAGGTGGTAGGAGGAGCATCAAGCTCATGTTCATTCTTGGCTGCACACATAGTCAGTTCAGTGTGTGTGCCTGGGATATATGAAATAGTGCCTTAGAATAAAATGCGAGAGAGGGAGGAGAAAGACAGACAGGGAGAGAAATTGTACAAAAAGAGCAACGAAGGTAAAAGGTAAAAGCCACTTGTTCTGTGATGACTTGTTATGGTAGCCCTGGCTTGTTATGGTAGAGATTTATCATGTTTGGAAACTTAGAAGTTGTTTACAGTTTTCATAATTTGGGGGATGGGTCTTACGAACCTTCTAATTTCTGAGTTTCCTGTGTTTTGTGAACCACCCTCTTCCCTCTAGGACAGAATGTTTCAGTTCCGAAGAATACAACATTACAACGGAAGACTCAGTGCGCCAAATAAATCCCACTAGAAGATAGCCTTAATCTAATGCCATACTTCCATGAGTTTCCGAAGAAGAGTAGATGTCATCAAAACTATATGCAAATGCGAAGAAGGTGGCTCAGCACCCTGTCTGCAGCACATGAACCCTGTCTGCATTGGAATCCGCAGCACTCCCCTGGAGAGGAGAGCTATATGTACTCCCAGCACTAGGCTATGGAATTGGAGACAGGAGGAATCCTGGAACTCAGCAGCCAGACTAGCTGAATCAGTGAGAGACTCAAGACTCAAAAACTCAATAATAATGATGATAATAATAATGTAGAGCTAACTGAGGAAGCCACCCACACGAACGTACATATGTTAGCAGGGACTTTCAGGAGCAGACTCCCTATTAATGTACCTTCAAAGTATGTTTCCCTTTATTTTCTGCTAAAGCCTTACGGTGCAAGATCACCATGCCCATAGGCATATCTCTTCATCTCTGGGAGCTCTGCTATATGCTCTGAGACTTTTGAGCTGCATATCAAAAATAGAGCTGCTATCTTTTCCTTTGAAATTACAATCTTAAACTGAGCTAGGTCTGGAATGTATTCCATCTTGGAGGGAAGGGAAGCTCCTTTAGATTCAAGGAGTTCGAAAGGGAGGCACGTTAGACTCAGGAAGGCCCTGAAAACTCCCCAGATGTGACCATGCCCCCTCTCCCCAAGCTTATTTATATAAGCAATAAAGACTGCTGAGGGACATTCGTGGACCGGCCAAGCTGCCTGGAAGAGGCAGAGAGCAGACAGTCTTTGAAGTTCTCTAACCCGTCAAGCAGCTTGCATGTGGCGCACTGAGCCCTAGCCTCCCAGCTTTCATGAGCTATCATCCATGTTGGGGTGGGCTTTGGTGATGGAGCTGCCATTGAATCAGGCCTGATCCTGTAAGTGATCCTTTACCCATACTCCTGTGGGTAACCTCAGGAAAACCCTTTTCTTCAGTGGTATCTGTACTTTGTCTTGGATAATTGTCTGGGATGAGTAAAGATTTGTTCATGTCTTCCCAGGAACAGTGTCATACAACACACACACAAAGTGTCTATATATGCAAAGCTATTCGGACTTACTAAATGGGTACATAGAAAGATATGCTATGTACTTCTGGACATGAAAATAGCCCGAAAGGCTGTTGAAATGAGCAGTGAACAAAACTAACTTGGTTTATCTGTGAGGGTCGTAAGAATTATTGATTATATAAATGGAATTGGTAATAGTATTGACTGCTATTACAATCTTAAGGCTGTGTGCCCATCTATCAAGGTCCCCCTTCCAACAACCCAGTACATAGCCTTAAGGTTATAATAGACATGTCCTTTAGTTTACATTTGGTGGGGAATGCATAAGTGAACTTTAAACAGTAGATACATTGATCTTAGAAGCAGAGGGACAATCACTCCTTTACCACTTAAATTTTATGTAATAAGTTTAATCCTTACAATCCCTTACTTTAACTGAATTACATTTTCTTACTGTGTAGCCCTGAGTGGCCTGGAACTTACCGTGCAGATCAGGCTGCTCTTCAACTCACAGTGATCTGTTTCAGCCTCTCGACTATTGGGATTGAAGGCATGAGCCACAAGCCTGACTTGGATAATCATTTTATCATGCCACTTTATAAGTGCCAAAGATTTATGCCAAGTTGTATTATTTGTGTGAGAACATGTATGTGCCATATAAACATTTTACTACATTAATGTTATAACTCTGGAAAATTTAGTCAAAGAAAGAGCTAAAGGTGAGCGTTGCAAGCACATAATTTTCTATATATTAAGTTACCACTTGAAGATAAGATGGATCAAAGTAGCTATATACTTCAGCGTGTCAGGGGACATAGATAATTTGAACAAAGATGTGATTAGTCCTATGATTTTTGTCAATTGGAACAGCTTCACGTTTGTTATTTAAGTTATAAGGCACATTGTAAAGACACAAACCCCAGAGAAGACCCGGAATGAAGCTTCATGGCAGAGACCTCGCATTCACCACTCCCAGTATGACATAAAATAGAAATTAAAAAACAAAAGCCAAAATAACGGTGCCCTCTGTTTCTTATTCGGTGATTCGTTAATAAATTAATAAGTAACCTGACGCTCCTACTGTGCTTGTTCGACCTGGTGTTTACTCACTCGTTAAAGTTTGAAGTTCTCTTTCCTTACCTGTGGACTAGAAGCTGCTTTAAGCTGTACTTAGTTTTTTAATTCTTTACTTGTTTAAGGTCTAAAGTTTCCATTTCTGGCTCTGTTCTAAGCAGGGCCAGAGCCTTCAGAAGTAGCACCCCCAAATCAGAATAATGGGCCCCACTGCCTCCTTTTTGTCCTGTTTTCTGTGAATTAATTTTTTTTCCTTTCCCTTTGGATGTTTACCTACCACATTCCTGTGATTCCAGGTGACTCCACTTATGAGTGGACCTCTCTCTTTGGTTTCTGTCTACCACCTTCTCAGTCAGTGAGGCCTCCTCTGTAAAGTTCCCTAAGATCTTGCACCCTTGTTTGAAACAGACCCACTAGTTCAGGGAGGCAGTATTGTTTGTAAGTTCTCCTAAGCACTCTGCAAAGCCCAGGGGCACTGAACAGGCATTGTCCATTTCTGTGGCTGGCCAAGCGCTCCAGAAGTCTCCAGGAGCATTCTTTATATATAATTAGTAGGTGAGGAGAATCTCTTTAGAAGAGGATGAGTCTAGAGAAAGTTAAACACCATTAAGAGGCATGTGTGGTAGCTCTTGCTTGTAATCCTAATACTCAGGAGACAAACACAGGATTAGAGCAGATTCAATGCTATCTTTGGCTACATAGTGATTTTCTGATCAGTGGGGCCTCCAATAGAAAGGCCCTGGTTTTTAATGTGTGTATATATGGAAAGAGGCACCTTGAAAAGCTGTTGACCATACCTCATGGATAGCATAAAGTGTACTTTGTCCCTTCAAAGGGACAGGTGCAACTGGAAAGCTGAACAGAGGAGGTAAAGAAGTCTATTCTTTAAAATCGAGACAATACAAGGATTAAATGTGCAGAATGCAATGTGTTGTGTTTTATAAAAAATAAAAAGAAAGCTATGTTTGGATGTGTAGTCAGGTGTAGGGGAAAGGAGTGCCTCTGCTGGGGCCTGTGCTGAGTCATCCCTTCCCCCTGAGGGACCACATGACTATATTCAGGGCATAGGGAGAGGAGTTGAGGAAGTAGAGACAGAAAAGCAGAGAGGAGAGAGAGAGGAGTAGAGGCCCGCCATGAGCATGTGGAGAGGGAAGGGGAAGGGGAATGGGGAGAGAGGAGCAGGAGCAAGGGAACAGAGCAGGAGCAAGAAGGCAAGAGAGAGAGGAGGGGCAAGCAGCCCCTTTTATAGTGAGTCAGGCACACCTGTCCAGGTAACTGTGGGGCAGAGCCTAGACTAAATGCTAACTTTCTCCCATTTTGGTTTAATTAAAAAAGAAAAATTAGAAGTGATGGTGGAGCAGGAGTAGGGGGGTCATCATGATCTTCAGCTACTTCCTGCTGACTTTGGGGAGACATGTCTCTGGGAAACCTAGGAAAATGGATATGGGGAGGTTGGTCTAGTCTTAGGTGAATTGGCTATTTCCTTGCTGTCCAGAGTCTGTGAAACCATCTGTGGATAGATCAGAAGGAACAGCTCCAGTAGAAGTGTCTGTGTCTGTGAGAGATTGGAGCATCTGAGGGTTGCTTCTCTGAAGCTGTCCTGAATGTAGTAAATGCCTGGACGTGACAAAATGCTGAAACACACACACAGACACACACACACATTATGGGTAGAGAATAAAGTTAAGTACATTTGGGCGAAAGAAATTTTTTCTTAGGTGTACATTTGAAACCCTTAGGTCTTTGTGGTTTGGGGGTGAGTCCCAATTCCAGGGTACAGGAGAGGAATCTCACTCTCTGGAATAGGTAGGTGTACTTATCTGAATGGAGTCTATTTGGTCCATGAAAGGTAGATCTGAGTGGGTTTCCTGTAGCTTATAAGTATATAAAACAGATAACAACATGAGTTAACAATAGTAACGGTAAGATGAGCTTAAGGAGGGCAAAAACCTTTCGTGGAACAGAAGTAACAAGAAGGGCTTTTTCCTTTTGTCTGGGAAACTGAATATACATAATGAGAAACAATTTTAAGTTTATAATTGAGAAACAAAGGAAACTCAAAACCTTGACCTTGTGAGTACAGTTGATCATATACCAAGAGAAACACCTTAAGACTATAGTTAAAGTGCAGTCAAATGAAACGTATATTTGAGTGTGATGGCTTATAGTGTAGATTCAGCATGAGAAACACTTTACATTTAGTTGAAAGACAATCAAAACTAAAAATTTGAATTAGTGATTATATAGTTGGATCATATAGTGGAATATTTTATTAGAGTTAGGCAATTTTATAAGAACTGGAATAATGTTAGGACCGTGGCATAGCAAGAAGAGGAAATACGAAGCATTTAAGTTGCTAGAAACTGAGTTTAGGTAAGGAAGTAACCAGTTACATCTGTGAAAGGTTGCATCTGTGAAAGCTTACATCTGAATTTGTATATTGTCTATCGTTGTGAAGTCTGTAAGAAATTTGGCAGTCTTAGTTAGTTAACTAATTTATTAATGAGCAAATATAGCAGATTACCTTGGGGTAAGGAACTAGGTCTGTTTTCTAGCTGTGAAGCTACAGTTAGCTTAGCTGTCAATGTAGTCAGAAATCTGAGGAACAATTAATTATAATCTAGGAGTCATGTATTAATTAAAAAATGACAAGAGTTCGTCTATAGCCCTGACAGTTCCTGGGTCCCTGTGGTTTCTATAGCAACTTGAGTAGAGTCAGTCTGGATGTCAGGCCCAGAAGATGAACAGCTCTTTCTCTGTGGAATAGACAATGTGTGAAACGAGAAATGACCAACACCTAGACTTAGGCAATATGAGGCATTGAATCTTTGTTTTGTCCAGAGTGTAGACCAAGCCTGGGCAGGGCAATGGCGTTGTTTTTTTAGTGGTCATCATACCACAATCCAGGGTGACTCTTGTCGCTGTGCATGTATCTTCTTGGAGACCTTGGGGGTAACTGTCAGGCTTTGGGAGTCTCTGTCATTAGCATGAATATTAATACGTCACCCGACTTCTGACAAGATTGAAAGCAGTATCTGTTGAGCATAATCTGAGTTAGACTACTTGTGTTTGTTAAATTACTTGATGGAGAATGTATATAGTAAGTAGAGCACACTCTAACTTAGTGGCAATAGCAAAAATCATTATTTCCAAGGCAGGATATAATGAAAACCTTAATTGTTAAGTAACTTTAACAGATTGCATTAGCAGCGAAAAATACATGAAGAAACACACATAGAGACAAATTATCTAGTGTACCCTTGGCTTAGAGTTAATGTGGATCAGATTCGACAGAAACTAGAAAGCTGACAGGGATGGCATGAGACTGTGGCTACAGAAAGTGAGTGTGTCCAGGCTGGTTTAGACCCGGGCCACGGACTGAGCAGACAGGCGCGCAGGTCCATGATTGATCAGCATGGGAGTTTTGACCTGCTCCATTTCTGACCTGGACCTGTTCACATCCTCCTTAGGCAACCTGGTGGTCCCCTGCTCCCGGGCAGCAGCGCAGAGCAAGCATATGCACAACTGAGGCACCAGGCGCGGGTCCTGGCCCGGGCTGGGTATGAGAACCCACAGACTTCGAGGAACCACAACAGGCCAGGTGGCATGTGCGCCGAATAGTGGCAGCGACAGTGAAGGTGGTACCTGTGCTCGCACTCGCGCAGCTCTGATTCATGACACCAAATGTTGTGTTTTATAAAAATAAAGAAGAGAAGGAATATGTTTGGTGGAGGTATAGTCAGGTATGGGGGAAGGGGATGCCTCTGAGGGCCCATGCTGAGGCATCCCTTCCCCCTGAGGGACCAGCCATATGGTATGGTATACAATAGAGTTTATTCAGGGCATGGGGAGGGGAGTTTAGAGGGTAGTAGAGGCAGAGAGAGTAGAGGAGTAGAAGCTGGCCATGAGCACGTGGAGGGGGGGAGGGGAATCGGGAGAGAAGGGTAGCAGGAGCAAGGGGACAGAGCAAGAGCAAGGAGAGAGAAAGGGAGAGGGAGAGAGAGAAGGAGGTGAGCAGCCCCTTTTATAGTGAGTCAGGTATACCTGGCTATTGACAGGTAACTGTGGGGAGGAGCTTAGACAAAATGCTAACACTGTGTAACCCTAATGGGGACGCCAGCGTGAGTAACCTGATGAATGTTTTTGTCCAGGTACAGTTGAGCAATTGTTAACATTAAGCTATCTGTAGTTTATGTATGTGGTACATTCAGAAAACTCAATTGTTACTCTTTTCTCTTTCTATCTTTTTTTGTTTGTTTCCTTTTTTGTTTTGGGGTGGGGGCAGTTTCGCGATAGGGATTTTCTGTGTAGCTCTGGCTGTCCTGGAACTTGCTGTATAGGCAAGACTGGTCTCAAACTCACAGAGATCCACCTGCCTCTCCCTCCTGCATGATGCCACTACTGTCCAACATCTTTTTAAAAAAAAAAAAATCTTGAAGCTTCACAAATTCTTTTCTATATAATTTAGTACGCAAAACATGACTTTCCAGTTGCACGAAATTATGTAGTTTTCTAAAAATTAAGTTACATGTTGAATCAGGAGTTAGCTCATTGTAGGCAGTAAGAAAAAGAGCCTACAGTGAAAACTACGAGTTATCCTGTATATTACAGAGGGAATGGATATTAAGGTTAAAAGGCAATGTAAGGGTTAAAATAGCAAATCTAGAAGCACCAAGAAGAGACAAAGACATTTACAGCTGGCTATGAGCTAGCCAAATAGGTAGGAGAAGAGACAAAGGGGCTCTAAGAAGCAAGCTGAATGACAAAGACTGGCTAGCTTTTTTGAGACCTTTCCCCATAGGGAAGCAAGGACATGCTAAGGAGTGTTACACATTACATTACTAATTTTAATGCATCATCTAATTACATCATCATGCTAATTACATCATGCTAATTACAATCGACTAAGTTGTAAATAAGGATAGCTTCTAACAACCCCCTTGCCCTTTCAGGAAAGAGACCACAGACCATCCTGTGATAACCATAAACACTGCAGTG